CTGTCCATCTGTCTGGCTGTCCATCTGTCTTTATCTCTGTCTGTCTGACTGACTGTCTGACTGTCCATCTGACTGTCCGTCTGTCTCTCTGTCTGTCTGTCTGTCTGTCCATCTGTCTGGCTGTCCATCTGTCTGTATCTCTGTCTGTCTGTCTTTATCTCTGTCTGTCTGTCCATCTGTCTGTCTGTCTGTCTGACTGTCCATCTGTCTGGCTGTCCATCTGTCTTTATCTCTGTCTGTCTGACTGACTGTCCGTCTGTCTCTCTGTCTGTCCATCTGTCTCTCTGTCTGTCCATCTGTCTTTATCTCTATCTGTCTGTCTGTCTTTATCTCTGTCTGTCTGTCCGTCTGTCTGTCCATCTGTCTGTCCGTCTGTCTGTCTGACTGTCCATCTGTCTGTCCGTCTGTCTGTCCGTCTGACTGTCCATCTGTCTGTCCGTCTGTCTGTCCGTCTGACTGTCCATCTGTCTGTCCGTCTGTCTGTCCGTCTGACTGTCCATCTGTCTGTCCGTCTGTCTGTCCGTCTGACTGTCCATCTGTCTGTCCGTCTGTCTGTCCGTCTGACTGTCCATCTGTCTGTCCGTCTGTCTGTCCGTCTGACTGTCCATCTGTCTGTCCGTCTGTCTGTCCGTCTGACTGTCCATCTGTCTGTCCGTCTGTCTGTCCGTCTGACTGTCCATCTGTCTGTCCGTCTGTCTGTCCGTCTGACTGTCCATCTGTCTGTCTGTCCATCTGTCTGTCCATCTGTCTGTCCGTCTGTCTGTCCGTCTGTCTGTCCGTCTGACTGTCCATCTGTCTGTCCGTCTGTCTGTCTGACTGTCCATCTGTCTGTCTGTCCATCTGTCTGTCCGTCTGTCTGTCTGTCTGACTGTCCATCTGTCTGTCCATCTGTTTGTCTGTCTGTCTGTCCATCTGTCTCTCTCTCTGTCTCTCTCTCTCTCTGTCTGTCTGTCTGTCTTTACCTCTCTTTCTCTCTCTCTCTCTCTCTCTCGCTCCTGTGCTTCATCATGTCTGTCTGTGTGGATCAGGTCCGGGATGCTGGAGCAGGGAGTGGACAGGATCGTGACTCAGGTCGTCGATCCAAAGGTCCATCACACCTTTCGGCCGCAGGTGGAGCGCGTCGTCCGGAAGTTTCTGTCTCCAAACGGCCACATGGAGGAGGACGAACTTCCTCCTGTAGCTCCGCCCCTTCCTGCAGAAAGCCAGGAAGCTGAACTGCTGACCGCAGACCACGGAAATGATGCCGGTGAGCTTCTCACATATGAGTATCCACAGTCTTCTCATTAAAAATGAGCCGGAGGATAAGTCAGGTTTTGTGGTGTTTCTCTGACAGCTCCAGCTGGGAGCTCCGGCGCTGATGTCCAGATCCCAGAGACCAGCGGCACTGACCACGATCACAGAGAGGAGGAGATGGACATCAGCCTCACCGAGGAGGAGCCGCTCGCCGCGGAGACGAAGGAGGAGCCGGAGGAGGAGCAGCCTGGGAAAGAGGAAGAGGAGGAGAGGAGTGCAGAGACGGAGGTGGAGATGGAGGAGGTGAAGGACGAGGGAGACGCGGGGAACAGCAGTAAATCCTCAGGGAAGATCCGAGAGGAGAACCGCGACTCTGACTCCCAGAAACCCTCCAGCGTCAAACAGAAGACCAGAGAGCGACTGAGAGAAGGTACGACAGAGAGATTAATCCTGTGTGCCGCTTGGTTTTTAGTGATCGTTTCTGGCCTGTTTTCACTCCTCTTGTGTGTTGCACTGATTATGCTTTATACTGATGCACCAACATTAATTTTGTGTAAAGTTTTCAGTTAACCAAATACTGAAACCAAAAATTAGTTTATGCTGTTCAGAGGGTTTTCAGATGAAACTTTTAACCAGTCATGCACTGTAAAAAATGATTTCTCAAAGTTATAAATAAAACAAAGATAATAAGAGAATGTTTTTCAAGAAAATACTGCTTCAGATTGTCATTTGTACTTTGTTCTTACTTCCCGTAATTGTTTTGAGCAATTTCTGAGAGAAAACGTTTTTTTGATGTAGTAAATCTTACACCAAATTGTTTTCAAACAAATCGTACAGATTACTATAACATGATTTTTGGTCACGCTGTTGTAGTTTATTTATGTTTTGGGCGTGAAGTAGATACTGACAGTCAAAATAAAGCCCTAATTTAACATCAGTGGTCAGTCATTTCAGCCCTACAATTTTAGCCGAAACTGTAAATTCATTTATTTTTTGCACTCTTTCAGCCAAATATTTTGGTTTGTCAAAATGTTGGTGCATCATTAGTTGTAGGTTTTACTGCTGGTATTAGTAAAGCTATCAATCATATACAATCACATATCCAGTTATTCTGTATCATTTCCTTGTAATATAGGGGAATGCTTGAAGTTATTTTATAATGTTTCATGAGATGCACTTATAATCACTTAATAACAGTCATAATTTTGATATAAATTTTGTTATATATCAGTGTAAACACCCACTGCTATTATTGGCGTCATTGCATATGAAATTAGCATTTTCGCTATAACAGCAACCAAAAGTGATTAATAGTGAAAAGTGTTGATTATAGAGCGTCTCCCGTTGCATCAGTGGTTGCAGCTCTGCAAGCTGTAAGTTCACGCTCTGGTTTCACTGATGTGTGTGTGTGTGTGTTATTAGAGTACTCGCTGGAGGACTCTGATCTGGAGGGTCTCAGCGACATCACCGTCAGCTCGGTCCACACCAGCGATCTGTCCTCGTTCGAGGGAGACAGCGAAGAGGACGAGCCTCCGTCTGAGTCCAGCGAGGAGGGAGAGCTCAGCTCTGAGGGTGAGAAGCGTGTCACATGATCAATCAGTGCATGCGTCACTGCAGCGCTCCAACATGTGTGCATAGATGCAGACTCCTCACCTTTCAGTGACAACTCACTTTTTTGAGATCAAAATAGGTCACCAGTGAGATTTGCTTAGACCCAATGAGAAAGTGTTTTATGGGGGGGGGTCTTAGAAGGGTAAATAAAGAACTGGGGCCGGTTGCATAAATTGTTTAGACTACTCTTAAAAAGTTAGTCATCTAATGTTTTTTTTTTCTTCAAGACTCGTCATAACTTTTTTAATTCAGTTATGAAAAGGTAGATTGGTCTTATTTGTATTGGAAAAGTAAGTCTCAACATGTTAACAAGTTTATGCAAAAATGTTTTTTGTTTTTTTGTAAAAAAAAAAAAAATTCCGTTTTGGACATATAAGATAATAAATTATTTTTAAAAATACCTTAAAGTAACATGTCAAATATCACAAATGACAAAAGAAATATCTTTAAAAGAAATTCCATGTGGAGCATATGCTCCCAATCCACACAATGTTCTCACCTTTTTTCCTCCTTACCTGTTTGCATCTGTGTGTGTGTGTAGCTGAGGGAGGGCAGAAGACGCCGGCCGCTGAAGACTCGGAGGGCAGTCGGGAGAAGAAGCCTCGAGGCGTGAGACAGGGATACGTTCACAAACCCTTCCTGTACTCGCGCTACTACAGCGACTCCGATGACGAGGTGACGGTGGAGCAGCGCAGACGCTCGGTGGTAAGAACAACTCTAGAAGCCCATGCTTCTGAGCTCATTCACGAAACACCAGCAGAATTAATTGTGTGTAAAGCTGTTCGGTCCCACTTCATATTTGGTGGCCTTACTTGCATCAAAAAATATGTATTAATATTGTATTGCAAAACACTTTTGCTGCTATGTAGGTGGGATATGGGTAAGGTTAGAAACAGGTTTGGTGGTATGGGTAGGTTTATGGGTGGGTTAAGGTGTAAGGGATGGATCAACAGTGTAATTATAAAAATAAATTACATTCAGGTATTTTTTTAAATATAAGTACAATGTAAAAACACGCATGTACACAATAAGTGCATTGTACCAAATTATTAATTTTAGTAAGTAAATAGTAGTTAAGGCCACCTAATATAAAGTTGGACCAGCCGTTCGCATGTAAATTTTTGTGTAAATCACTTTAAAAACCACAGAGTGTACCAAATGCTGTACAATTTAAAAAAGATCAAATAAAACTAGAAGACATCCATATATAATAATTGAAAAAAATCTTGTTTATCACTGTAAAGCTGCTTTGAGACAGTCTGTATTGTATAAAGCGATATATAAATAAAACTTCAAATGTCATTAGAAAAACAAAAGAATAAATTAAATAAATTTCTTGTATTTCATGTTTATATTTTAAAAATATTATTTGGTTGCATGAAAAAAAATGTACACTTGCTTCCAAACACACGTAGATGTTGTGTAAAACATACAAACGTTTTGTGCTCTTTTAGGTAAACTGAAACACTTTTTACTCAGAGTTGTTTAACTGAAAAGTATCTCCTTAATGAATTAAAAAAATTTGTATTGTATTAATTTTTAATATTTTATATAGTTTTTTTTATTAATTGTATGACATAGTTAGAAAAACAATTAATCAATAAATACATTTAGGCAAACTGATAACATTGTATTTTAATATAACGCTATTTATTATAATATATAACAATAAAATTAATAATCATTTAGTTATATTTGAAATTATTTCTATACAAACATTTGAATTGCTCAAAGCAGTGCATATAATAATAACGTTACAATACCTTTTAATTATTAAATTGTTTCTATTCCAATGTGTGTTTTTTTTTATATAAGCATTTAAACAATGGCTGTCATAAAACCGGCATTGACGATTCTTAGGATTTAAGAATCAATATTTGTTCATCCAACTGAAAAATTGATTTAAAACAGAAAATCCACACACTCAACCCAGCCCACAAAATTGTTCTAATTATTGTTGTGATGCACAATTTTCATCTGGTTTTTGTTGTCGTTGAAGTTCAAACCATTCCGATCTGATATAATTTTCTTAATTTTAACTTTCACTCCGCAGGCCAAAGACAAAGAGGAGCGTCTGTTGAAGCGGCAGCAGAACCGTGAGCGAATGGAGGAGAAACGCAGACTGAGAGCAGCTCATAACGAGACTGGAGAGCTGCTTTATAACGGAAAATCAAGTTGTAATTCTGACTGAAAGCATCATTGACACTGTTTTTTTATGTTTAATACTGTAAAGCTGCTTGCTTTAAATCAATCTCTTGTATAAAGCGCTGTATAAATAAATGTGACGTGACTGGACTTTACTGGAGTACCGATTGCAGAGCTCATGCAAACTTATCCACATCGCTATGATCAGATGCTTTCTTAACTGCTGTTTTCTCACCGCTGTCATTTTTGTTGTGTGT